CTCATCATGGGAGGGCAGTATCCTGGCCCTACTGGAATAGAGATAGCAGGCCTGTTGTCCTCAAATCAGGTTCTCAGGCATCTATCCCTGCAGATGGAGTTATGAATGATTCACATGCCAGTGAGTTCCCAGGGTGAGGAGAAAGACGATCCATCCTATAGATGAGGTTGCCTCAAGAACTTTAGGGACTGTTCACACACCTTGTCTGTCCTGGCTGGGGAAAAACAGCCAGAGTGAGACTGCAGGTCCATTCCCCTGCATTGTCTACAGCTTCCTCTTCAGAAGCAGCTCAGGTCTCCGGACTTAGGATTGGGAGCAGAGGACAGAGTAAGAATGAGAAGCAGACCACATGGGAAGATTTGTGGTCCTTGGCTAAAGCCTACCAGGCAGAAGATTCTTTCTCTTCTTCCTTTTTCTTTCTTCTTAACCTTTTCGACCAGGGTCCCTTTGACAAATGACTCCTGCAGCAGGGTTGAATTGGGCCCAGTTCTCCCTGAGGTGATGGTTTTCTCAAGCCTGTGACTCTGGGGAAGCAGCTGCTCCCTCTGCTGAAGGGCTGAGCAGGCTGGAAAGGATTTTGTTCAGGGCTGAAACACTGTGGGAATGGAGCATTATCATACTGAGAACAGTAGTAATCTGCCACATCCTCAGCCTCCACTGCATTGATGGTGAAGGTGTAATCTGTCCCAGAGCACTGCCACTGAACCGGGCAGGGACCCCAGACTGCAGGATGGAAAAAGTATAGATCAGGAGTTGGGAGACTGTCCTGGTTTCTGCTGGTACCATTGCATTGCCTTGCTAATGTTGGAACGCCTTGCAGTTGTGATGGTGACTTGGTGTTCTGCAGCCACAGACAGGGAGGCTGGGGACTGGGTCAATACAATGGCTGCTTGGGATACTAAAGAGAAGAAGAGATTTCAGTGAATGAAGAATCCTGTGTAGAGACAGTGCATGCAAGAGTAGTTCCCTTACCCTCAGACTGAGTCAGAGATGCCCACTGGAAAACTCCTTCTTCTCTAAAGTGGTGCCAACCTATGGCTCTTTGGAAGTTTACCTTGAGGCCAGAGCAGTAGTAGCCAGAGGAGCAAGGACTGGGAGAGCATTGTGATCCTTGCAGAGCTGGAGCAGAGAGCTCTGAGCTCAGAGGGAGACAGATGGGAGATATTTGTACCTCAAGCTGGATTTGAGAGGTGCCTTGGATATCACCATGCAAAACAGTCCTGGTCCAGCCTGAACTGAAGGACCAGGAGTGGTTATATGCACATGGAGGGAGTGGCCCAACTGTATTTCCTTGAAGGTGCGACCTCAGGTGGCCTCTTTTTTTATTGCTGTATGAAATGCATCGGCCTTAAGCTGGACATGGTGGTGGCTGTGGCAGGTGGCTAATTGTGATTATAAAAGGTAGGAAGGGTGGCAAGCAGGGGTGGGGGCTCTCTTCCCAGAGAGATCAGATGGTTTTGGGTCTAGAGACCCAGAGTTGATAAGTGTCTATGCAAAGAATAGAATTAAGAAAGAAAAGACCAGGGAACCAAAAATTTAAAGAAAGCAAAGGGCCCAGTTAGATGAAATGTAGCTGAAGGTTACTTGGAAATTCTTTGGTTTACCAGGGGTTATGGGGAGAATGTGTCCCTTGAGTTGTTGGGGGGAGATGTTTATTCTTCTGTCCTTATTTCTGTTACATTTCTAAAAGCTAAAAAGAAAGAATGAAAGGATTGCTTTTCTCAGCCTTTCTTTTTGTAGGCAGGGAAAGTGAGGCCAAAAGGAGTGACATGGTTATTCAGTTACCTTTTTCCTATTAAAGTCATCATCTCTTTCCTCCCTCAGAAAGTTTCCACACCAATCAACAGTGGGATCAAGCCTGTTGCACTTGTAGTATTTCCTGGTTGGTGAGATAGGGAGATCAAGTCACAAAACAATTTGAGAGGGGAAGACCCTCAGTGTTCCTAGACAGAACAGAAACAATTGCTATTTATACTCACTCTGAGCTGCAAAGCTCAAACAATGACCAACAGAAGCTGGGGCTGGGACTTATTATTGGCCAGTTGGTGAGACCCAGAGTGATTTGTATTTCAGGCATATGGAAGTATCTCCATTTGAATCTGAATGTGCTTTATCAAAGCCTGGTTTTCCAGAGCTCAATCTCAAGAAATTTATATTGCTTTCATTAGAATACCTATATGTAAGTATATGACTCCCCACAGGGAGGAAATGAAGAAGAAAGGAAGGAGAGAAGGAAGGAGCATTGCCCAACTGGAACTGAACAGTTGGGTCCCGGTGAGGCAGCTATTACCACTCACAGACTGTTGTTTGTCCTTCATTCTTTTTTAAACAAAATTATGTATTTTTAGTTTTCAACATTCACTTTTATAAAGTTTTGAGTTCTAAATTTTTCAGTCAGTTCACAACTCCACCAACAATGCATTAGCATTCCACTTTTCCCACATCATCTCTAACATTTATCATTTTCTTGTTTTGTCATGTTAGCCAATCTGATAGGTGTCATATGGTATTTCAGAGTTGTTTTAATGTGTATTTCTCTAATCAATAATGATTTAGAGCATTTTCTTATATGCTATGCTTAGCTTTAATTTCTTCATCTGAAAACTACCTGTTCGTATTCTTTGACCAGTTATCAATTGGAGAATGACTTGTATTCCTATCAATTTGACTTAGTTCTGTATATGTTTGTGAAATGAGGGTTTTATCAGAGACACTGGCTGTTAAAATTGTTTCCCAGCTTTCTGCTTCCCTTGTAATCTTGGTTGCATTGGCTTTGTCCAAAACCTTTTTATTTTGATGTAATCAAATTTTCCATTTTGCATTTCATGTTTTCTGTGTCTTGTTTGGTCATTCATTCTTCCATTCTCCATAGATCTAACAGGTAAACTATTCCTTGCTCTCCTAATTACTTCTAGTTTCACCCTTTATGTCTAAATCGTGTACCCATTTTGATCTTATCTTTTGGTATATGGTATAAGATGTTGGTCTATGCCTAATTTCTCCCATACTGTTTTCCTGTTTTCCCAGCAGCTGTTGTCAAAAGTGAGTTATTATTCCAGAAGCTGGAGTCTTTGGTTTATCAAACAGTAGATTACTATAGTCATTGACTACTGTGTCCTGTACATAAACTATTCCAGGGATCTACCACCAAGAAATTTTTGATTGCTGCCTTAACATACAATTTTCAATCTTGTATGGCTAGGCCACCTTCCATTGCATTTCTTTTAATTAATTCCCTTGATATTCTGGACTCTTTGTTCTTCCAGATGAATTTTATTATTATATTTCTAGCTCTCTAAAATACTTTTTTGGTAGTTTGACTGATATGGCACTGAATAGGTAAATTAATTTGGATAGAGTTGTCATATTTATTATTTTAGCCTAGTCTACCCATGAGCAGCTGATATTTTCCCCATTATTTAGATCTGATTTCTCCTTCATTCTTCAAGAGGATAAGTGACATCAGGAAGGTGATGTCTTGACTTACAAGTGAACTGGATTTAAGTGATGCAGGGCTGTGCAAAGGAACCAGTCACACTCTCACCTCCAGAGCTCTCTGGGTCCAGGGGCAAGACATAGATCAGGATGTCTGGGTCCAGTGGCAAGACAGGATGACTGTAGATGGTCACTGCAACCTGAAAAAGAGAAATGAAAAACTGAGACCTGGGAATGAGCTCTCTCCCACTGCATCTTGGGCCATATTCCTTATCATGTTGACCTATGTCTTATTACTGGCCTCTGATGAGCCTAAAGGAGAGAGTGAGACCGATGTCTTTGCACAACCCTGCCTCACTTAAATCCAATTCACATACGGATAACATCTTCCTGAGGAGGAAGTGATTCGACAAAGTAATAAGACTGAGGTACAATTGTGATACATTTCGAATTAAATAGGATGGCCAATTGTGAGAGAAAAGCAACAAGATTTGACTGTTTCCTCCCAGAATTACATACAGGTCTGAATGGGCTTTATGAAGGCCTGGTTTTCCAGAACTCAGTCTGAAGCAGTTTATATTCCTTTGGTGAGAGCCCCCAACTGCAAGTGTGTGATTCCGCATGGGGAGGAAGGGAGTAAGAAAGAAATTGAGGAAGAAAGGTAGAAATGAGGGACAGCTGGGTGGCACAGTAGATAGAACACTGGCCTTGAGATCTCGAGGATCTGAGTTCAAATCCAGCCTTAGACCAAACACTTGACACTTACTTACTATCTGTGTGACCCTGGGCAAGTCACTTAACCCCAATTGCCCTAAAAAAAAATGAAAGAAGGTAAGGAATGAAGGAAGAAGCATTGCTTAACTGGAGCTGGCCAGTTGTGGACCGCAATGGGGCAGCTACTACTCTTCACATCTTGATGTTTGTTCTTCATTCTTTTTAAAAAAAAAATTATTTATTTTTTGTTTTCCACATTCACTTTGATGAGTTATTGAGTACTAAATTTTTGGACCAGTTTACAACTCCCCTAACAATGCATTAGTGTTCTAATTGTTATACATCTTCCCCAGTGGGGCAGCTATGCCTCTTCACAGATGGTTGCTCATCCTTTGTCTTGAAGAGACTAATGACATCAGGAAGGTGATGTTTTGACTTGGAAGTGAATTGGATTTAAGTGAGGCAAGGCTGTGCAAAGTCTGCAGTCTCACTCTCTGCTCCAGAGCATCTGAGTCCAGTAGTAAGATATCAGGATGACTGAAGAAGACCTCTGAGACCAGAGGAAGAGAAGTGAAAACCTGAGACCTAGGAAAGACCTCTCTTCCATTGAATTCATGGCCATCACATTGTCTTCACCTAGAGGAAAGAGTAAGAATGAGGGCAGCTCCTGGAAGCAGACCGCATGGAAAGATTTGTGGTCCCTGGCTAAAGCACAACAGGCAGAAGATTCTTTCTTTTCCTCCTTTTTCTCTCCCTTCTCCTTCTTTCCGCGTCAACCAGGGTCCCTGAGACAAATGACTCCTGCAGCAGGGCTGAAGTGGGCCCAGTTCTCACCTAAGGGCAGTGGTTTTCTAAAGCCAGTGACTGTGGGGTAGCAGCTGCTGCCCTCTGCTGAAGGGCTGAGCATCCTGGGGAGGTTTTTGTTCAGGGCTGAAGCACTGTGGGAATGGACTAGTATGAAATTGGGAACAGTAAAAATCTGCCACATCCTCAGCTTCCATTGCACTGATGGTGAAGGCGAAATCAGTCCCAGAGCCACTGCCACCAAACCAGGCAGGGATCCCAGCCTGCAGGGTGGAAGCAGCATAGATCAGGAGCTTTGGAGACTGTCCTGGTTTCTGCTGGTAGCAGGCCATGTTGTTGCTAATGCTGGAACTGGCCTTGCAGCTGATGGTGACTCTGTCTCCTGGAGCCACAGACAGGGAGGCTGGGGACTGGGTCACCTTAATAGCTGCCTGGGATTCTAAAGGAGAAAAAGAAAGACGTTTCAGTGAATGATGAATCTTGTGTAGAGACAGTGAATGCAGGAGTAGTTCCCTCACCCTCAGGCTGTGTCAGAGATACCCACTGGAAGACTCTTTCTGTCTCTGAAGTGGTGCCAACCTATGGCCATTTGGAATTCTTACCTTGAGGCCAGAGCAGTAGAAGCCAGAGGAGCAAGGAGTGGGAGAGCATTGTGACCCTTGCAGAGCTGGAGGCAGAGAGCTCTGAGTTCACTGATGGACTGATGGGAAGATATTTGTATCTCAGGCTGAGTTTTTGAAAAGTCCCTTGGACATCACCATGCAAAACAGTGCTGGTCCAGCCTGAAATGAAGGACCCCAGGAGTGGTTATATGCACATGCAGGGAGAGGCCTAACTTTATTTCATTGAAAATGTGACCTCGTGTGGTCTTCTTTTTAATTGCTGTAGTAAATGTACATGCCTTAGGCTGGACATGGTGATGGCTGTAGCAGATGGCCAAGTGTGGTTACAAGCAGGTGGAGGCCTGTCTACCTTCCCAGGAGAGATCAGATGGCTCTGAGCCTAGAGACCAAGAGTTGATGAGTGTCTACGCAAAGAATAGAATGAAGAAAGGGAAGAAGGAGCTGAGTTAGAAAGAAAACTAAGACCAGGAACCAACAAAATTCAGAGAGTTAAGGGCACAGGTTTAGATGAAATGGAGATGGAGGCTACTTGGAGATGCTCTGGTTTACTAGGTGTTGTGGGGTGAATGTGTCCCTTGAGTTTTTGTTGGATGTGGGGAGAGAGAATATGTTTATTTTTCTCTTCTGTATTTCAGTTATATCTTTCTGAAAGCTAAAAAGAAAAAAAGGGATTGCTTGTTTCAACCTTTCTTTTTGTATTTGGGGAAACTGAGGCCAAAAGGGGTGAGTGGTTATTCAGGTGCCTTTTTCATCTCGTTTTCTCTACTCAGAAAACTGTCACCTTGTATCAGGCCTTCATCATCTCTAGGGTGGACTCTTGCCATGACTGTCTGGTTGGTTTCCATGCCTCCACTTTCTCCCCACTCCAGCCAATGCCGTACTCAGCTGTGAAATGGATCATCTGAGACAGCAGCTCTCTCCATGTCACCTCTTCTACTCCAGAAACTGCAGTCCCTCTGTATTACCTCCAGGATCAAACAAAAAATCCTTTAAATCCATTCAGACCTTGGCCAATTCCTCCCTTTCCTATTTCCTCACACTCTACCCCTTCCAAGCACCCCATGATCTCGTGACACTGGCCTTCTCTCTGTTTCTCATAAAGGACCCTCCTCTGTCTCTGTGCCCCTTCAGTGCCTTCCCATGTGCCTGGAATGCTCTTCTTCCTCACTTCCACTTCCTGGCTTCACGTCCTTCATTTTTGCTCTGAAACAAACATGTGGGGAAACTTCCAGTGATATTTTCTTGCTACTATGATCTCCCCAAGCAGTCTTTTCTGTAATGCCCATATGTCATGCTGAACAGAGGAGTGTCTGTGGCAGCTATCTGACTGAGTGTGCCTTTTCAGTTTAAAATTTTTAATATTGAACTTAAACACTAAGAGAAGAACATTTCCATACCTGCAGCAGAACACAGAAAGAGGATTCTGTGTGAAACTATGAACCTCTCTTTCACACAGCTTGCAGAAGTATAATAAAGTGGATCCCTGTCACTGGAAACTGTCATGCTTATCTATACTTCCTTCTGTTCTTTGTTGCATTTAAGCAGATGATTCAATGGTCTACTATTTTCTCCCCCTCATGATTGCTCTTACCTCGTTGCGGAATTAAAAACTGAGAAGAAATAAAGAAAACACATCCCCTGTAACATACAAGCACAGTCAAGCAGAATGACTCTAGACAGTATCAGAGTTCACTTTCTGCATCTGTTGTCCCTCCTACCTTTGTCAGATGGTTAACACTTCTTCTCTGAGTTCTTCTAAAGACATGGTTCAGAGTTGTTTGTTTTCACCATGAGGATGTCCTCATACTCTCTGAAACTGGACTTTGCAGCTGATTTTGACTGTCTCTTGGAGGAAGTGATTGGACAAAGTAATCAGACAAAAGTATAATATGATATATTTCTAATGAAATAGGATAGCAAATGTTGAGAGAAAAGTAACAAGATTGACTGTTTCCTCTAAGAATTATATACAGGTCTATATCATTGGCTTCCAAAATTTATCTATCACAGAAATTCAGTCTTTAGGCATGCTTTGGTAATACGTTTTGGAATTTGTATTTTCCATTATGAAAGTAACTGTCTGATATTTTTAAAAGGCAGAAGAGCTCATTTTATGTTGGACCCTCAGATAGTAAAAGATTCTTATACCAGATATAGGATGCAGGTAAGCACAGAGACAGCAAATGGTATATAAAGTGAAATTCTCTGAAGTTTCAAAGTTGGAGAACCAAATTTAAGTGATTGTAGTAACTTATGTTAAGTGAGAATTATCTAGGAACTTCTAAATCTGAACCAGTGAAGCAGAACTCCTCTTTAGAATAGTCTTGAGAATAAAACTTGTCCAAGAAAGGATATCTAGAGACCAGAAAACTATATGGGACATTTGGGACTAAAAGGTACTGATTAAATGAACACTGAGAATAGATTCCTGGGATACAAGGAGACCAAATGTTAGTTAACATTGGTAATAATATATGGTTTATGTTTATGTTTTCTTGGTTACCTTGGTGACATGTAAATTTCCCTTACCAAAGCTAGTCTATTGTGAGTCCTCTGAGTGGTTTAATCTATTCCTGACTGAAGCTACTTATGCAATTATGGGCATTGTGAGAAAAACTTTGTTATATTGTTTGAACCTGCACCATGTTTATGTGTCTTTAAAGAAGGACCTACATTCTGCTATTTATTCTCAATTGCCAACTGATATGTCTTCTAAGAGCCTGTCAGGCCTTTCTGAGTACTCCCACAGCTGCCTCGTTGTGGATGTGGACTCCTGGATCATCTGAAGGCCCCAGCTACAAGTGGACATCTCTTTCCACTCCCTGAGGAAGAGTGAAGTCTTCCCTATGACTTCCTTCGCCAGCAGTTGGCACCTTTGGGCACATCTTTGGCCAAAAGGAGGGAGATGTGAACCATTTTTCAGCCTCCCAAGACCTGAGAAAGTCCTAAAACATAGATTGGACAGTCAGGAGAAAGACATTTTTGGCTACTCTGAGCTTAACCTACCATAATGCTTTGCATGATCTGGCACAACAGACATGCTTTGTTTTGCTCTCTGAGTGCAACTAAAATGCTCCTTCCTGTGTTAGCAACTAATTACAAGGCTAGATGAAACTGATCCTGAGCATTCTTCTGTTTGTGACTCCCAAGGGCAGGATGCTTTGAACTGGACGCTCTCTTGAAGGATGAGACTTTTTCTTATGTTGGTAATTTATGGACACGCATTATACTACGTTATGCTATATATATTCATGTTAATGAGAAAAGAAACACAGAAATCCTGCATCTATAATGTCAATGGACACCTTGACATTCTCTTAGTCTTATTGCATTTACAATCTATGCAATTAAGAAATTCCTTCCTCATATCGTGGTTAACACCTATGGAAACTCTAATTTTGGCTGACATAGGCATCCTGAGGCAGGAAGGGAGGGGTGAGAGGGAATTACTGTGAAGATCTAATAGCCCTTTGGTCTATCCATCCTTGGGCTCATTTTCACAGTGAACTCTCATGCTTATCTCTGTATGCATATTTCACAAACTTTGTGAGAAATAAACATGTACATGCAGCCGGATTTTGTTTGTCTTTGTTTTTCTTGTTTATGTTCTTTTTAGGTAACTGCAGATAAGTGAGTTGCCCAGGGTCACACAGCTAGCAAGTGTCAAGTGTGTAGTCTGAGGGCAGGTTTGAACTCAGATCCTCCTGACTTCAGGGTCGGTGCTCTCTCCACTGTGTCCCCTAGCTGCCCTGTTTGTCTGTCTTAGAATGAACTCAGTAATGGCTGACAAAACATAAGTCTGAAGTCTTTAAAGAAAGCAGTTGGGGAATGGCTGACTAAATTATGATCTACAATAGTAGTACACTGTGAAAAAGCTGGTTTCAGAGAAACCAGAGAAATTTATAAAAATGTGCTGATGTAGATTGACATAAAAAGACCAGGAGATCAAATGATTGAGTAGTAACAACAGTAGGCCTGGTACCTAGGCCATGCATGGTGGCCCAAGCTTGTCATCCCTGCTACCAGGGAGGCTGAGGCTGGTGCATTGCTTGAGCCTAGAAGTTAGGAGCAGCAGCTGGGCTGTGGCCAGATCCGGTGTCCAGACCATGTCTGGCACCAATAGCAGCCCTGGCCTTTTCCTCCCCAGGAGGCTGCCTAAAGACTTGCCAACTGGTCCGGATCAGAAAGAGAGCACCTCAAAGCTTTCGTGTCAATCAGCAGTGGGATCCAGCCTGTGAGCAGCCGTTGTATTTCCAGCCAGTTGAGATAGGGAGATTTAGGCCCAAAACAATTTGGGAGGGGAAGATCTCTGGGTTTCTGTCCAGAGCAAGAATAATTGCTATTTACACTCCTTTTGGGCCTTCAAATCCCAAACAGTGACCCAGAGAGGCTTGGGCTGGGAGTTATTATTGGCCAATCAGTGAGAGCCAGAGTGTCCTGGGCTGAGATCATAGTGAAGTATCTCCATTTGAATCTGAATGGGCTTTATCAAAGCCTGGGTTTCCAGAGTTCAGTCTCAAGCAACTTATATTCCTTTGGTCAGAGCCCCCAAATGCAAGTGTATGATTCCCCATTGGGAGGAAGAGAGGAAGAAAGAAATTGAGGAAGAAAGGAAGGAATGAAGGAAGGAGCATTGCCCAACTGGAACTGAACTGTTGGGTCCCCAGTGAGGCAGCTATTACTACTCACAGACTATTTTTTGTCCTTCATTCTTTTTTTAACAAAATTATTTATTTTTAGTTTTCAATATTCACTTTTATAAGGTTTTGAGCTCTAAATTTTTGAATCAGTTCACAACTCCACCAACAATGTATTAGTATTCCACTTTTCCCACATTTATCTAGCATTTATCATTTTCTTGTTTTGTCATGTCAGCCAATCTGATAGGTGTGATGTGATACTTTAGAGTTTTTTTATGTGCATTTCTCTAATCATTAATGATTTGGAGCATTTTTATATGCTATATTTAGCTTTAATTTCTTCATCTGAAAACTGCCTATTCATATTCTTTGACCTTTTATCAATTGGAGAATGAATTGTATTCTTATCAATTTGACACAGTTCTGTAAATGTTTGAGAAATGAGGCTTTTATCAGAGATATTGGCTCTAAAATTGTTTCCCAGCTTTCTGCTTCCCTTGTAATCTTGCTTGCATTGCCTTTCTCCAAAACCTTTTTAACTACATGTAATCAAAATTTCCCATTTTCATTTCACACGTTTCTCTCTCCTGTTTGGTTATTCATTCTTCCATTCTCCACAGATCTAACAGGTAAACTATTCCTTGCTCTCC